CTATTACAGCCCTTGCCCTACAGTCACTCCACTGCATTCTCAGTCCCCAGGTTCATCCTATTAACATCATGTTTGGAAAAGCTTAAAAAAGCAAAGCTTTAAACAAATATATTTGGGATTTACTTCCTGTCACACATACACACTCCCCCTATACAATGATGATTTCAAACTATGCTAATGCAGTAAGACTCCAGTATGTTTGTATATTTGTAACTCACTAGTGGCCACTTTCTTTAACTTCATTTAAAAAAAAAAAAAAAAAAAAGCTGGTCCTGTGGCTTGATTTTAGCTGATCCTGGGAATTTCTTAAGAATGTTTACCACACTGGCTCTTCAAGATTCCAGCAAAATCTAAAATCAGTAAAGTGTGAAACAAGATAATTCTAGTAAATGAAACTTTCCAGTGATAGAACTAAGACTGAAATCAAGGTCTTCATGTCAGTAGTATTCTAGGAACACAGAAACAAGTTCAGCATCTTTAACTGTGATTTCTTCCAACAGTTTCAATCAGGTTCTGGAAATCAAAATACGTATACGCTGCTTTACTAGGACCTAACACCATCATCAGATGCTCTGGGGCCTAAATTCTTATCTCAAAGTCAAAGCCATTCTCCTAATGACAGCTGAACTGCAGCCTCTGGGTATTCAAGGAAACCTCCTGAACTGAAAGCTAGGGACAGCAGTGAAACTAGAGCTTGTGCAGAGCAACAAGAGGAAACACCACGTACATACAAAGATTTATAAATTAGCTTAACACAGGAATTCCCTAAGTTGAGGCAGAAAGTATTTTTTTAATCATTGGAGGAGGACATTATAAGAGACAAATAGGAACACACATTTGGGAACTAATATTTTTAACACATGAATGGTTATCTATATCCACAAAAGTTAGAATCGCCTCCTAAAAAAGGGTAGGGGAATACTTTAAAGTATGTCCTCAAAAAAAAAAAAAGGCAGCCTAGCACATAACTTCAAAACACCATGCAATTTTCTCTCTTGGCTGTGTATATTTACATACTTACATTCGCAAATCCCCAACTTTCCCATAATCAATATGCATAAAGTAAATTATTTTGTACCTAGGGTTCCAATCTGCATTTCCTAATTTATATTGTTTTGTCATTCATTCATTTTATACATGAAGACTGCAAACACACAAGAACGCTACAAATTAGTCCTCTTTCTGGTGACACAAGATTGGAATTGGAAAAGCATACTTTTAAATATACACAACTTTTAATAATTGAAGTTGGTTTTTTTTAAGCTAAAATGCACAAATAAATCAAGGAATCAGTCTCAGTAGTTTGCACACATGTAAACTAATTTGTACTTAATATTCATTAATGCCTCTCTAAACAACACATCAATAAAAAAATCGATTCTTGCTTTCTCCATAAACATTAAGTGTTCTCTGAATCTTTGCAGACGACCAAACCCACAAATATTGTTTTAGCTTTTTAAAGAACAGTTTTATTTCCAGCTGGATTGATTGTTTCCCCATTTCTAGCTATTTCAATGTGCTCCTCAGAGACAGAGCGGCTTCACTGACTGAAATATGCTAAACAAATGACATGTCACAGAGTAAATTAGCATCTACTCTCTGATCAGCTGGGTCATGTTTTCTTTTCAAAATCCATGGCCTCTTGATAGAAAATAATGAGCATTTGATGGGCCTTATTAGAAAAATCAATATATTGATGCCTATGTCTGAAACATCTGCATAATAATAGATTCTGTTAACCCATTAAGGAGAAAATTAAGATGTGTTTACATATTATTAATTTACCATGATTACAGAAAGTTTATTCACTACTTTTCCCAAGTGTTGAACAAAAAGAAAAGAAATTGTAATAACTATATATTTTTTAAAATGGTAAAATAAACTGAAAGATTATTCAAAAAAAATTTTTTTTTTGTTTTTTACCAGTTTAACGGCATAATTTCAATACTAATGCTAAAAATACAAACATAACAATAGCAATGTTAAAAATAACAATATTATTAAAGCACTCAGTCTAAATATTACATTACTTACCAAAAAGCTTCCAAAGGCTGAATTAAATATAGCAGCTGCCTGAAGAGAAAAAAGATAAATATCACCAATGGTAAAATAGCTACAGTACAAGAACAGAATGTCATTCCTCAGCCCAACAAGCTATTAGATCCTCCAAATACACACATACACAGAAACCACTAAGCAAAGTTAGCCACTGCTTAAAAAATTGCCAGTGGCCTGTAACTTATGAAGACTGATAGGTTCCAGTTTATGAATTCATAAATAATGTGCTGAAGCAGACAAAAGCAGAGGGAGAAGAAAACTCCTTACCGACAAAATTACGAGGAATATCTACAAGAACCAGAATCACACACAATCTTGGTCTCAATGATTTTGCTCTAATTCGCTGGGAACACTTTTACATATCGACCTATTGATTAAAATAAGTAAAATCGGACTGAACTAAAAACAGTGCATTTTCATAGGCTTTTAACATTTTTTTTTTTTTTTAAAAAGGAACGTTACTCAGGCAAGCAAACCAATTTAATTGTTCATAATAAACAGGTACTGACAAATTCAGAAGTTTCTGTAATTTGACCAGCAAATTTCAAATACGAACAACAGAAATAACAACACAATTCTGAGGCCAAAATTACTTTTTGCTCCATAGTCTTTTAAAATAAGAAAGTAAAAAAAAATTGGTAATGACTTTAAAAGCCTTTGTGCTTACCTAAATATCCAAGAAATATAAGGTAGCAGTATTATTTCTTAACATTAACTCATTAAATTCCAGGAAGTTAAAACTTGAGTCTTGAAAAGCTTCCCCCAATTACCAAGAAAGAATAGAAACTCTTGTTTGGCAGCCAGTCTGATGATGAAAAGCCACAAGACAAAGGTAAGAGGAAAGGGGGGGAGGGAAATCTACCATTTACATGAAGATCTAGAGCAGAGTCAAATTAATCACCCTGGACATTTTCAGCCACAGATTAATAACAAGTGGCTGCTAGTGAGTTTAGCAAGTTTGAATAAAGTCCAAATTCAGGGTAGGAGCCGTAGCTGAACCTGCCTTCTGCTCCATAAGAGGATGCAATGAGAGTGAATGGGTAATGAGATCCTTGGCTCTAGAGAGCTTAGCTTTCTTATTCAAGTTCATAATTAATTCAGAGCTTTGATAATTTCATTAGATTCCTCCTCTGCTGGCCCTATCAATAAAAGATGGCACTGGACCGCAGCTCCTCAGCGGCCTAAACACAAAAACAAATGCAGACTGGGAAACCTTTGCTGACTTGCTTACTAACAGGGACAATGGCATATGGCACTCCATGTTGCGGAGGGAGCATCTGAATAGATACAGCTAAATAAAACATTATAGTTGACAGTTGTAAACTACAGTAACATATTTTAACACCTCTTCCTCATCAGTCTTCCTTTTTTGAACATAAAAAGGAGGCACAAGTCCAAACGACTTCTCTTGCCGGAGATCACAGCTGAAAGCAAGAGAGAGTACTGCTTAAGACAATTCTTCAACAAGTGTGAATCAAATCAGGATTTTTAACTTGCAATTGAAGCTGTACAGATGATACTTAGCTGCACAGCTGATACTTTCATGTGGCAAAAGAGAAAAACATCACACCCATGCACACAAACCTACTGCATGCAATCAGCTTCAATACAGGAGGTGTCCTTGTACCAGATCCTATTATTACTATGTTAAAAAAAACTGATTAAGTCTATCAAGCCACTTTGGTATTTGTTGTGTAAAAGAATAGCTCTTGTCCAGCCTGTATGTATTTGTTCACTTCAATCTGATGAAGATGCAGAGAGCCCCCTCATATTACATGCTGCCTCTGAGTCCATGAAGGAGAATCTAGACTTTCATTTTCAAGAGCACTTTAGAGCTCTTCCTTGCAAAAGAGTTTTTGCTATATAAAACAGTGTAAATCAACTGCTAGATCTGAAAGAGAGAAGAATCTGGGCTCCACTTCTGCACCAGAAGGTTGGGAGGAAACTTAATGGTCCCCTCCTCCCCACACAGATTTTATGGGCAGAGTGACAACTACATTTCTGTCTACCACAAAGAACCATGTTGCTCACCCTCCTCAGAAAAAGAAGCTGGTAAAGCCCACAAGAAGTGGATAGAGAGCAAAGAGAGTCCTTTCTTCCCTAACATGCTGAACTTACCTTCATTTCACAAAAACAGCCAGTCCTATCCCAGCTGGATTCAGGCCAAGCTCTGCTTGCAGTGCAGGTGAGCCTGCTGGACCACGTCAACCGATGCAAGAGAAACAACTTGCTAGACAGCCCTGAACCCTTTTGCTGGCCGTCTTAACAATACACAAAGAGCAGAGCAGTAGCTGGCAAGAACGTTTTAGCCACACCAGTGGCTGTCAGTCCCATTTAAAGGTCATCCACAGACATGAAATCTTTTACTTAAATCGTGCCGTAATTCCCCTTCCTGGGAAAAAAAAATCTCTGTACTTGGCAAGGTAGTAAGGAGAGGTACTAGCCGGGTCTTAGGTCTGGTGGTCTCTTCTTGCCTTGACATTATCAATCCATAAACAAACTTCTTTACTTCCTTCCTTCCTGACCCATGAGGAAACTTTCTGCTTTACCCTTCTCAAGCTTTTAACAGGTACTAAGACAATAATCTTGGTCATTTTATGCTTCAGGTATTCAGCCAGTCTTGGGCAAAAGTCACCATCCACTATTGGTGAGGGGTATACTAGTTTTTTTCTTTCCTTTCCCTAAAACGTCAGAAATTGATCACGACAGATAATCAAACGCTCATTACATGAAAAAAAAAAAAATATCAAGTAGACCACAAATGAAACTGTTCAAGTTCACCCAGATGATTTTGCCTTCAGTGAATGAAAGTTCACACATGTCGCTGACTATATTTGCGGCTTTCTTTAAAAACTTTTTTCCTGCAAAATAAACTCAAAACTAAATTTTTCTCACACCCACAAGCCTAGGGCTTATGCTTGCGATTCTGGTTCAACATTAAACAAATATATAGAAGACAATCAACTGTTCTAATTTGTAATTAAACATACCCAGTAGCACTACCCTGTAGAATGTAACCACTCTGGGCTTCCAATCCCATTCTATCAAGGGGGATAATATTGCCTACGTACCTCACACGGCATTGTCAAAATTAATTCATTGCTTGAAAAGCACTTTGAGATCCTTAGAGGAATGGTACAAACAAACATTAGTGCTAACACATGATACAGCTAGTGTCTTGATTTCCTGTTTGAAACATTTATTAGTCACTATTATTATATAACTTTTTTAATGTCTGCTCCTTTTGTGCTGTAACAAATACCAGACTATCTGCAGTCAGCTTAAACACTAAAATAAGAAAACACTTAGATATCCCTATAAAATTCTAAGTTCACATTTGCATGCGCTTGCAAACTGTACATTGCACTTCCTGTTAATATCAAGGAGAGTTCTCTCAAAAATCAATGGCAAGATCTTTTCACAAGGTGAATGCACAGCCATGTATTTTAAATGCAAGGTCAGACCCCATCCTAAAGTAGCAGTGGAGATAAGCAGCCTGTGCTATTTAGCCCAATCATTCAAGTTTACATCAACTCAGAGATAAAGACCAAAAGCACCAACAGTACTCTGACAGGACTAGTAGAGAAGAACATGTATAAATCTGCTTGAGTGTAAAATAACAAGCCCTAGCTTCGCTAAACAATAGATTTACTCAAAATTAAACAGATACAATTTCAGTCAACTCAGTATGGCACTACGCTTGAGGGAATTCTCTGCACCTCGTGGGAGGATCAGTGGGGTGGAAAGCTTTCGAATAAGAAGGAACTAGCCCATTTCTGAGGGAAACCTAATTTTGTACTTGTCAATAAGTCTTCTCGTTCCATATCTGAGCCTACTGCAAAGCTTCATCCCTTTTTACCTCTCACCTTACCCTGCCTCGAGTATATGTACAGAAAAGATTGCTATTACCGTTACAAATCCTAGCAAACAGATCCAAGACAGTCCTCGGAGCTACAATCGAAGTTTTGTTTAAACACACACACACACACACACACACATAGAAGAAAAAGGTAAAATCATAAGCAAAGGGCCAAACGTTTCCCCATAGGTTTGTACACGAATGCAGCAGCAAGTACCTACAGCATTCAAATATGTTTGATTCGGCAGCAAATCAACCAAGCAAGTTAATGTTTCAGCAGG